GTCTATCAAATATGATTTTACGGGACGGGTAGCCCTGATAACGGGGTCGAGTGCGGGCATCGGTGCGGCCACTGCTATACTATTGGCCAAAAGTGGAGCCCAAGTGGTAATCACCGGACGTAATGCCAATAACATCGACAAAGTCTGTAAACAATGTACAGAAGTGTCGCCGAAAGGGTTGAAAGCGGTTTCAGTGGTGGCCGATGTGACCAAAGAGGCAGATCTTGACCGACTTCTGGCCACTACTGTCCAGACTTGCGGTCAATTAGATATTCTGGTCAATAACGTCGGGTTCACTCCTATGTGCCCGTTTACTGACGAGCATTTTATGCAAAATTTCCGGTCAGTTATGGACACAAACCTGAATTCAATTGTCTATTTAACAAAAATATCGGTCGAGTATTTGGAGAAAACCAATGGATCGGTCATTAATATGTCAAGTGTTTTGGGTTTAATAACAGTGAGTATTATTTTATTTTTAGTATATTATAGCTATTAATTATAAATTACCTCATTGTTAGTTAACTAGCAAACAAACAAGCATTTTTATATTTATAATTTCTATAACCTCCCTGTATTTGTCCCACTATACTTAAAATATGAAAATTTAATTTAAAACTATAATGTTAATTCTCTAATAAAATGAACAGGCTCCATTGATGACGTCATACTGCATGTCAAAAGTGGCGCTCGACATGTTTACCAAATGCATGGCCGTCGAGTTGGGACCCAAACGTATACGCGTTAATTCAATCAAGTATGTCATTTTGATCATGTATAAAATTGTGGAAAAAATAAACTCACCTACAACATTTACATTTACTACATTAATTTAGCGCTGGGTTGGTTGGAAATACCAACTTTTTCAAAACTAATTTCGGCGCTACCGATGCTCAGGAGAGCGCTATGGCTGAGCACATGGAAGGCCTATTACCGGTTGGACGACTGGGCGATAGTCTGGATGTGGCCAATGCCGTGGCCTATCTGGCCAGTAATGAGGGTAGTTTTGTCACCGGCACTAATCTATTGATAGATGGTGGACACATGGCCGCCAATGTTGGCCATAATATTGGGTTTCTTTGATAGTTTTAATTTAATGCCCTGATCATTAATTAATTGTGCATGTTAATTAATAATTGCTTTTTAACACATTGTATTTTGTTTGAAAATTACTAAAATTTTCACATATAATAAACTTTCTCAAAACTTTGGTTTATAACATTATATTCTGGAATGATAATTTTACTGAAATTGTCTTATGAACATTTTATTTAGGCTAGATTTTGAAATTTTAAAAATATGTCGTATGTATATTATATAATTATAAATCTTATAACTATTATACTTTTGTAATAATTAATTATGCCATTTAAAGCTTTATAAAAAATATTAATAAAAATAGATTTAAATATAAACTGTAATATTATTTATAATTTTTCATGCAATTATTTATTTGACAGACTATATACATTTAATGGAAACACATGTACACAATACAATACCCGATAATTTTTATTAATTATGCATGTTAATTAGTAATTGCTTTTAATATACTGTACTTTGTTTGAAAATTACTAAAATATTCAAATAAAACAAACTTTCTTAATACTATTATTTGGTTTATTATAACATTATATTAGTTTTTAATTATAATTATAAATAATTAAAATTTTTATGTTAGCAAAATTAATTATAAATAAATAAGAATAAATTAAAATACTACACAAACAAAAGTTACAAACCAACCATTTGATTATAATTTTATTACCAATATTCTTGTTTAAATATGGTAAAATATAAAATTCAAATTTACTTATACCTATTTGCTAAAAAACTGTTGACAGTATCGATGATATTTAACCATAGTTTCGTCATTTTTCGTATATATCGGTCGCTTTTTTCTCTTCAAATTTACTATTAGTGTTGTGTCTTCAATAAGCTAAGTAAATATAAACAATTATCAAGTTACTATATAATTTTTTCTAAATAACAAATTGATATTATTTATAAAATTGTTTATAAATATGTAGAGAGAGAGATACTTTGTTAAAAGATTATTTTAGAAATAAACTAAATTATATAGTTAATACAATTTAGTTTATT